ACTTTCAACGTTACTTCAGAAAAACGTAATAGGACTACAGTTACAAGTTACATTTTAAAAAAGTAACTCGTTACTGTTACAAGTTACCAAAAAAGTAACGAAATTACAGTAATGCGTTACTAGTAACGCGTTACTACCCAAGACTGGCTAAAAATCTCTATTAGGGAGTTTCAGTAATCGTTTTCAAAGGCCCGCTACCGCTATGGGCGCGCGCTTCAGAGCATGCGTCGAAGTGGCAGCGCCAGCTCCCGCTGCAGAGAGCGTGGCCTGAAAACACGATTTGCTAAAACTTCAATGTTTCAAATTCTAATGGTTGTACGAGCGCACGTAAGCAGTTTGCAATCGCCCCTCGTCCAAAGGATCCCACCTTAGTGTACGCAAGTCGTCGGCAAAAATATCCATTATAAATTGGTATGGGGGAACTTCACGTAAGAAGTGCGTAAAAACCGACCCCCAGCGATATGTCAACGTCTCTTCGCTTCCGCCTTTCCTTATTCCGTGGGTCCAGCGAAGCACCATGGTACGTTGGATTGACTTGTATCGACTTGCCACTTTCTCCATAGTGGCAAGTCGCTACCTGACTGGTAGCATGAAGATGGCGAGGAAGAGAAAAAGAGAGGTCCGTTATGGTATCTACCGATGTCGTGGAACTGCCGAGGTTCGAGTTCGACCGGGATTGGCTTTTTTGAACTTTAAACCCGAAGTTCGACTAGCGGAGTAGTGACTATCATGCGCATTCGTGTAAGTTAAAAGCGACCTGGCATCGCCTGGCGGGGGAGTGAGTCAGCAGTTTGACGAGCCCCTCTGTTTGCGGTTATATTATGTAAACATCGATAATTAATACATAAAACCTATAAAAGGCCATTTTTAAAACAAACCCTATACTTTTAAACAATTAAGTTTTCTTTTTCTTTTTTTGTAGAAGACGGTACAAAAATTTAAACTTCGTCGTACTTCGCTAAACGTTTGAAGATTCAACAAACCAGTCAAACCTGGAGCTTCGACATGAATTCACGCTTTCATTTATTACAGAGCTTTTCGGCCATAGCTTCAGTAGCGGGCGACCAGATGGCACCACCTTCTTTTGTTAATAAACGGAGTTTCACGTCGGATATTATCACCATTGTCGTTGGGAAAGGGGGACGACCACAGTGCCTGGTGTTCCTGTGCGACGCCGTATCCGAGATTGGAAAGTTTGAGTATATCGTTTTTGCGCCCTGATAAAGACACCCGATGAGATACACGCACACAGATGCATCCGACGTACCGAGTATGTTTATTGAAGCTATTCCAACGATCTAAGAAAACTCCTTACTCTTTGTCCCACGTGTCCACGAGAAGATTTTTTTTTTCGCTATCTGTCCTCGCAACTTTACCGAAGGGTAAAAAATATAATTGTATACAATTACTGCGTAAACATTGCTTGCAGTTACATGAATGTATCGTCTAGTTTATGGCCTTCCGGCACGATACTCTCGCCCTCTTACTAAAAACAAAAAATACCAAATGTGTTGCTGCTGACGTGCCATAAACGGATCGAAAACTGGCTGGGATGAGCACATTCTGAGTCCTTGGCCTATTGTCTGCTCCCGTGTCTCTAGTTTCCGCTGTATTTCAATCCGTGGTGAAAGAATTCCCCGATGTATATAGCGGTGAATTATCCCATCCACTACGACCCTACCGCGAAAAGGCAGGCCAGCCAAATCGGTTGTTGAGTGTGCTCGGAGCACGTGGAGCAAAAGCTTTTCGCTGCGGAACACGGGGATCCTGGCCTGCAGTCTCTACCCTTTGCCATTTCGATCTGGTCGGGCATAATACCGGCGTGTTGTCGTATAAACGCGACTAATTGATGCATGTTGAAGACATCAGGGCAAGTGGCCGTACACTGCGCTGGCTAAGTTTCTCATCGACGGCAGGGACACCAGACGTTCTCTGGGGCTCACACTAACCTCCTGCCGTCTCAACGTACTTGCAACAGAATTACTTTTCAGGCGAACCCCTCGTGGGCCCGTGGTGGAGGCCGGATAATTACGAAGCAATACACAAGAAGGTGCAAACAACGCAAAAATCTTGACCCTCCGCCCTGTCCGTCTGTCTTGTTCCTGGCATGAAGGTAGGAAAGCTTCTGGAGGCGACACGAGGCCACCAGAGATGAAACCAGAAGTGTCGAGGGACACGTCCCCAATCGAATGACCGAAACCGAGAGACGCTATTGGACGAAAAGGAGATCTGACTTGGCGCCAATATCTGATTTGGTCACTTTCGGGGGTCTATCGGTTTAGATCATCGTTGGGCACATGTTCCTCCTCACTTCTGGCTTCACCCCTTGTCGACTCAAGAAGCTTCGTACCTCCATTGTGACAGGATAAGAGTTCAGGCCTCCCACCCTTTCCCATTTTACCAAAGCGAACGTTGGAAAGGAGGCGTCCGCTCTGGGAAAGCCAAATCTAAAGCGGAAAGGGTTGGGAGGGGCTTCCCCCTTAACCTGTCAGCGATTATGACCTCGAGCAAAAGCGCGCGTTTCTACGAAGGCGTTCGTATACAAACACGTGCTTTTGCTCGAGTGGTGACATCTACACCATTTTCCGCCCCATTGTCTTCTTTTTTAGTTATTTCGAAGTACACGCAAATGGGTGCGTCTCGTCTCGAGCGCGCGTATAACCCTGGCTAGTGCTTTAGGCACCGTTTTACCGCACAAATTCCTCGCGCTTAGTGCACCAGCGCGTCACGCGCTGGCCCACTTAGTGCAACAAAAGATGTCTTCACACCCTGAGGCAGACGAACACCGTAGGCACCCTAACCCTTTTCAGAGTCGTTTATACTGAGAGAGCTTGGCCTTCCTAAGGAGATGTTGACAGCTTGGCAACCACAGCAGCGTAGTCTGACAACCGGGGGCATGACTACTTCCGTCCGCTATTTTTGTGGCTCTGACTCGTAGGAACTCCATGAGATTTCTCGGGAATAAATGAGACAAAGAAGTAACGCAATTTTGCGTTATCGCGAAATCCGCTGGTTCTAGAGGACAACAAGCTCCGCCCACTAACCAAACTCTCTCAGTATAAACGGCTCTGACCCTTTTCAAACGCGGGCGCCATCTGGAAGCTGCTTAGCCAATTAGCCGGGTCCGCCATTGTTTGGGCACGAGGCCTGATTACGTGTTGGACGCGAGGGCAAACTCGGCTCAGCTCGGTATCGAAAACGAGCGCTGCGTCAGCGTTAGCCGTAGGCTCGGACCCAATCAAACGCTTCATGGCCCGCAAAAAAAAAAAAAATTGGGCGAGAAAGAAAAAAAGTGAAAGCCGTTTACAAATCCCTGTAACGCCGAATTGGAGCGCAGCTCTTGAGGAGGAGGAGTGAAGGGTACTGAGGGGAGGGTAGACCCCTCCTCCTCCCCTCATGCTTTAATATGCTCCGGGGGGGCGGTCACGTGACCTCGGGGGGGAAGTCACGTGACTTCTGGGAGGGGGGTCACGTGACCTCAGAGGGGTCACGTGACCTCAGAGGGGTCACGTGACCTGGGGGTCACGTGGGGGCCACCTTGGGGTCACGTGACCTTGAGATGACCTTGGGAGGGGTCACGTGACCTTGGGGAGGAGACCACGTGACCTCGGGGGTCACGTGACCTCAGAGGGGTCACGTGACTTGGGGGTCACGTGACCTTCAAAGGGTCACGTGGGGTCGGGGTCACGTGACCTTGAGATGACCTTGGGAGGGGTCACGTGACCTTGGGAGTCACGTGGGGTCACGTGACCTTGAGATGACCTTGGGAGGGGCCACGTGACCTGGAGGGGTCACGTGACCTTGGGGGTCACGTGACCTTGGGATGACCTTGGTTACGCCGACGGCGACGCCGCTCAAGCCGGGAACGGGCCCCTAAGAGCTGCGCTCTAAAACACGATGTGAGTGGATTCGCAGTGAAAGATGTCCCCGACTACAACAATTCACGGTTATAAAAATAAAAACACATCATTCGAATTGTTGTAATTGTTATACTCCAAAGTATAATTGCTTTGTATTGCACAGTAAATGTTAGTTACATCTTAGGTTTGATAAGAACAAAACCAATTATTTGCGACTCCGAAAAAAATAAAGAAATACACACATATTGCTAAATAAAATTAATTTTTTATTATTAACATTTTGTCTCCCATGCGCAAAAAGGAAAAATAAAGAAAAACTTTGAGCGTACCCGCTTGACGTATTCGTTGCACGGTACTCCTCGCATCAAAGCAAGACGCTTTCATATCAACACAAACAACGCAGAAAAAAAAATACGACACAAATGCAGGCCACACAGATGGACAAACCAGGCCGCTGTTTCTCCTTCTCTGTGTCATCTTTTTTTTTTTTTTTTTTTGGCTCTGTTGCTGCTAATGTCAATCACCAACTCGCACAAGCTTGATCTGGCTGAGCATCGTACTGGCGTGCGGTCGCGCATCACTACTGCGTGGTGCACATTATGGACCCCAGGCTAGCGGTCGTACTGCACTGGCTAAATTTCTCACACGGTGGGTATCAACGTCGCCATACTCCGGCAACTAAACTCTCGCTGCCTAAACAACGAAACGACGAATTTGTTTTTCGCGCTTCTGTCGCATCGCAACGATACGCTCACGTCCGCCATCCTGTCCGATCAAGAGGATCTCGGCCCCTGGGCGACGCGTCGGGCCGTCGTCACGCCAGAACGAGCAAGCGGGCCCGTCCAAGCATGGGAGGACGGGGAGGGCTACGAGGAAGTGAGCGTCTCGCGCCCGCCGCCTCGCGACCTCTCTTCCGGTTGCCAAGGCAGGCAACTGTGGGCGGCCTTCCGCCCGAGTCCGAAAACAGGGCCGCTGACGCGAGCGCCTATCCAGAGATCTGCCCGTGCCTAGATCTGGGGACAACGCCAGCGTAGGGAAAACCGCTCGTAGGGAATCCGTTCGCGTAGTGGTGATGATGATGATAGCGTCATGTATGACTCGCACACTGGCGCCTCGCTGTTTTCAACCGTTTCAACGGTTCTCAGTTTGAACTTCGGATGTGGTTGCTGGTTGCTCCGTAGCTTTTGTGCATGCTAGCGGCATAACGCCGACCCAGATAAGTACAAGTGCATGATTTCTGACATGTGCTTCAAGAAAATCTACAACTTAAAGAGGCACCTAAAGGAGGTTCACGGGGACGCTGACACGAGCTGGATCACACTGTCCGCTGCCGCCTTGCATGCGATCTGTGTCCAACAGCTTGCTGCGCCACTTTGAAGCGAAACACGGGATCGTCGCGAGGCGTGACAAGTTAAAGTTCAATTTGTTGAAAGGTAAGTGCGCTCACTTAGTTTTCTACCTTTTCTACAGAAGAAAAATCAATAACAATGCCTACCAGTTACAAAATACGGTGTGGGCCTAGAGCAGAAAAGATATAATTCAAGCTCTCGTTTAAAGACTAAAAAATCTGAAAAGAGACGACAATTCATTACCACAAATTTGCATCCGCACCAATGGTGACTATTGCGATTGCACAGAGGGATAAAATACACTCGTTCCTCTAATAGCACGAGGTGCCACGTGAAATCCCAGCATATGTTGAAAACAATGCAAAAGAAGAGGATAAGAACAGAAATGGCAACAAGCGTTACCATCTAGTATCGACTGACTGTTTAATGCGTGCTAAGAGAAGTACGAGAAGAAAGTCGGTTTGTTAATTTTTTTTCTTCTTTCCTTTTCTCTTCTAGAGGGTTGTTAATCTTTCTAGAGCATCAAAATGCAACACTGCCTTTCTTTGAATCTCGAGTGCCACATTATTTTCGATAGTGCCACTTGTCCTGTCCCTCTCTCGTCTTTCGTGCAAATTGTTTTCGAGATGCTTAAAACTTGCTGTGCGGTACGAGTTTATTCTTTCGTTCCCCTCTGAAAAGTGCTTTCAAAGTGGTAGTTACAGAGCTCTTTTGTTCTGCAGGTGCACGGTCCTCAAAAAGCTTGCGCACCAATTGCACTGATCAAAGCTATGCAACTCAGAGTACTCCTGGAGAAGTGGCAATCAGTTCATTGCATGACGGTTCATCGACAGCTCAGATTACCCTTTTTTCGGTAATAAGCTGCATGAGACTGTCACTGCGACAGTCCCATGCAGTGTCGGTAAGGTGGGTTAACATTTTTGTAATGAGCCGCCGCGAAGCGGCGTGAACGCAGGCAGGCAGGCAGGCAGGCAGGCAGGCAGGCAGGCTGGCTTGTGTGTGGGTTAATACATACCCCAGTGATACACGCAAGACGAAATGTCCCTACAGCATGCAATTCGCATAACAAGCATCAATTAAACGATTGTGTTGACGAAACGTGTGTCCATGAAAAGTTGTCCACGAAACATAATTTTACGAAGCGAGTTTCGATGAAATGAAAGGGATCCTTTATGGAGTGGCATGCGCTGTGTAGCCGGAAACCCATATTTGACGTCATAAACGGTGAATGTGAAACATGGCTATCTTGCGTTTGCCAACAATTTTGCACCAAATAATTGTCTTATTTGGATTCATGGGGTAAAACCAGGCAAGAATTGACCTCCAACTATATTTTAGGAACCACTTCAGCTTTCTTTAAGCCATGTTACTTTACAAGCATGACTTTCACATCAGGACATCAACAGGATCGCCTCCTAAAGCACACCTGTGCATGGGAATAGCCATACTTCCAGTGTATATACCTTATAACATCCTGAAGGAGTATTTTACCACATGCAATTCATTTAGCACTGAATTGTTTGTGCGGTGACATACTTCCTCGTTACGTTAGGTCGAGAAAGAGTTGAATGAATGTCCGAGCCCTTTTTAAGACAAAATAGAATGTCAATTTTTATTCCTCGAGCCAACACTTGTTCTCGTGCACTGACGCTAAAGCTTGTGGATAGTGTTGCAAGTCATGTTGCAAGTTGCACCAGGGAACGGTGACACTATAGCAAGGTAGAACAAGAGGTTTAATATGGCGATCGGCTCAGAGCCAGGTACGATCTAGCCGCGGAGCTCTATCTGCTCGGCTGCTCAGTGTAGCCAACATCTCTCCCATACAGAAGAGTCAAAGTCTCTGGGGAGCTTTGACGCATCGGCCACTTCTCGTGTGTGAATGAAGATTGCCTTCAGATTCTGTACGTGGCTCTTGAGCATCTTCGCTGTCAACAACTTCCGCATCCCACTTCTGACGCCATGTTGCAAGTCGTGTTGCAAGTTGCGCCAGGAAAGGTGACACGATAGCAAGGTAGAAGAGGTTTAATTTGGCGATCGGCTCAGAGCCGGGTACGTTCTAGCCACGGGCGCAAGGCACGAGTTCATGCGCACGAGCAGCAGAGCTCTATCTGCTCGGCTGCTCAGTGTAAGCTTAAGCACATAACCTTAAGCACATAAGCTTAAGCACAAACCTGGCACACCTGATTGTTGCGGCTTTGGCCGTTGCCACTGGTATGTATGATGGGAGTATGGCTACCTGGGGAGTGAAGTAGAGGGGTCACAGTGTTACCCTAATATCCCGAGAGATAGCCCACCTAAAATCAGAAAAAAATGGCTCAAATTAAAAAGTGGGCTCACTTGCAGTGTGAAGCAATAATGGCTCTACTTGCCAGTCAGCAATTGTTCATTATATCTTGCCATAGCTAACTCGACACAATAACTAGACACATTATATCCCCAATAGCTAACTAAAAGAAAAAAAAGCAAATGAAGCCAAAAACTGGGGTGGCTTACCTTTCGAGGCTCGGGCATCTCTCAGAATTTTACGGTAAGCATATATCTCACGTCTACAGTTTACATGGTACCAACACACTGGGGTTTTTCAGCTGCTCTTGTGACTGCCACTATAATGAGACTTGACTCTTTTCTAGGGGTGTATGAATACTTTAATATCGGAATACAAATCAAATAGTAAGCTCTCGGATAAATCAATTCGCGAATAAAATTCTTAGTGTTTGGTTAACCATAGATTTAAAATGTTCTGTGAAAGATGCGCGGTCGACACGGAGCAAAAGAAACTTGTGCTCCCTCTCCGTTGTAGTGCGCACTTGCATTGAACTTATGAATATGCAAAACATATTTTAGTTTGTGTTTTTTTTTTGTCCTCCCGTCACTCACATAGCAGGTGCACTTGCAAACACCACATATGTGGGGGGCAGTGAACCTGTTCTTGCAGACCATAGTGTTTTGGAGTGCACCTACTATGTGGGCATTGGGAGCACGAAAAAACCATGGACTGCATGCTACAGCTAAAAGTCTGATTGGGATGTACATTTAGTGAAACAAACATGAAGATGTTTTGAAGCAGTGGAGTATATGATGTGACTGATATACCACTCTTAATTCAGGCCATTTCATTTTAAGCTTTCTTTCTTCTCTGCCTGCCAGAATTCAGTGACTGGAGGGGGGCTAAGGATGGCAGAGAGCACATTCGCTTCATTCTCCACGACGGACCCAAGGGACGAGATGAGGGTGTCCTGAAAAGGTATTACTACTGCCACCGCTCTGGATCATTTCAGAGCAAGAGGTAAATGAAAACTGAGAACCCAGGGCACTTGTAAGACTAATGTGCAATGCTTAGCCACAATTCAAGCTACAGAGAAAGATGGCAAGGTGACAGTAGAGTACCAGGCAGAACACTACGGCCACCCGAAGGAACTGAAGCACCAGCGCCTCTTTACGACTGAGGAGGAGGCTTTAGCTGATAAACTAAAGCAAGGCATCCCCGCCCTTAAAGATCTGGTAGACGCACATTCTTCTGCTGGCAGTGAGATGGGCAGGCTACATTTACTCTCAATAAAAGACATTGGCAACATCTCCGTCAAGCATGAAATTCTGACGAAAGACCTACGGCACTGAACAAAGTCAGATTCTTCAGTCCTGTACTGACATGGAGGAAGGAAAACAAAAAGAGAGCTTTGAGCTTGCCCTGATGACTGTTCCTTTAGAAAGAACGTCTCACAAAGCTTGGCCCCAAGTTTCTGTGCATTGACTACACTCATAATATAAATGGCCACATTCTGCAACTGAACACTCATGACAGCTGCAGAAGATCAGTCAGGCATGCCATGCACATATTTGATCTCAAAGTAACTAGGCACCAAGGCTATGAAACACTCCTTAAGGCCATAAAGGTAATGCATGGGAGGAAGTGATGGGCTGTGCCCAACATTGGATGCTCTGCTCGTGGCATGTAAGCCACAACTGGGCTCTGAAGTTGCAGTCAGTCCAAGATATAAGCAAAACCGTGACCGTCTTTGCGACGAGTTGTGGGCGCTGAGAAATTGCAAAGATGAGGGTCAATTCCAACGAGCTCCGACAGGCTTCCCGTGTCAGAAACTAAGTGAAGAGACTGATCCAAAACTAATTCAACAAGTACACGAGTTTCTTCAGTACTTCGGGCACTACCACGGTGGCAGAGCCTAACAGTGGGTGCTCTGCTTCAGAAAGGGCATTCCTTTTAATACTACGAACCTTTTGGAGGCAATGTACAAGGACCTGAAGTCACGCTACATGCATGGAACTCACAACCAGAGGCTCGACAAGCTGTTGATGATCCTCTTCGAACTGAGCCGTGACCGGCTCTACAAGCGTCCCAAGTCGCTCGTAAAAGGAAAAACGAATCGGCATGATGCAGCCCTTTTTCGGAGGCACCAGGAGGGGATGAAAATTCCAGCATCAGATGTAGAACAGCTGCAAAATGGCAATGGCTGGCTTGTAAAGTCTCAGTCCCAGACAGAGAGAAGCTACCATGTTGAGAAGGGCGACCCCCACCAGAGTTGCGTGCTTCGTTGCAGGGACTGTGACATCTTAATCAACAGTTACAAGTGCACTTGCAATGACAGCCTGATTTCATCATCGATGTGCAAGCATATTCACGCAGTAGCTTACCTGGGGCTTCATGGGACGACCGTGGAGGAGGCCGACACTGAGCCAGGTGTAGAAATGCCATCAACAACACGTGAAGCAACAGGCTTTACGTTAGATGATGAGCCACAGTCCCTCTTGGATGACATTCGGCAGGGTATTGAGGTAGGGATGGAGAAGACTCAACCAAGTTCAGAGGTCAACATATGTTTAACAATAAGTGGACTGAACAAGTCCCTCTCCAGGAAGAAATTGACAAGCTCCCCGGTGTTGAAATACCGTACCAAGGCCCAGGAAGTACTTGACTCTGTTCCAGATGAGACTTCTCCAAGTAGTAGTAGTGCTTTATGAAGGAAAGGCAGAGATTTTAACCCGAACGTCAGTTCTAGTTTGCTACTCTGCACCGGGGATAGGGAGAGGGGGAAGGAAAGACATAGCAGTGGGGTAGGAATATGAGGTGAAAATTGTCAATGAAGATGATTATGATCTAGTGAATTATGTAAGCAGTCTCATATAAAGTTCTCAGTCATTTAGAGTCTGTGCGAAAGTCCTATGTCTCTCAGAAATCGTATTAGAGCCTCGGTGGCCTTCATAGACTGTTCGGTTGTGTCCCAGCTGCCAAGCACTTTGAAAGCGCTAAACGGACGCGAATCTATTTTTTGTAATGTTTCTTGAAGCGTTTGGCGTTCCTCCTCGTACTCAACACATTGGCATAAGATATGCTCAATTGACCCCTCCACGTCACAGCTGGTGCAATCCTCGCAGATGTTCTGTCCTATTCGACAGAGGAACTGCGGTGTATATGCTACACCTAGTCGCAGTCGGTGCAGGGTTGTTTCCAGTCGTCTTGAAACTCCGGATGGAACGCGAAAGGTTTGTTGGGGGTCTAGAGAGTATAATCTCCGGTCGTGTGTTTTTACGTTCATCCAGTGTCCTAATGAAATTGTCTTGGCCAAGGCTTGAACTTTAGAGTTGCTGTCACTTTTGGAGTAAGGTATCAGAATTGAATCGGCACTGATCGTTGACTTGGCGGCTCTGTCTGCTGCATTATTTCCCGGGATGCCACAGTGGCCTGGTATCCACTGAATAGAAATCTGGTGGCCCTTTACGAGGGCTTGATGGCAGAAAGCGGATACCTGATATGCCAGTTGGTCGTACGCATTGCGTTTCATGAAAGTCTGTATTATTTGTAATGCTGACTTTGAGTCACTGAAGATTGTCCATGGTTGCGGTGATCGAGACATAATGTACCGTATCGCTTCTCGTATGGCAGCTAATTCGGAAGCCGTTGATGTCGTTCGATGCCTTATCTTCATCTTGACGGTATGGTTGTGGGCAGGTATGACAACTCCAATTCCAGACAGTGTTTCAGAGGACGACCCATCGGTGTATATATGTGTCGACAAGCCGTATGCTTCATTGATGACTCCTAATGTCAGTTGTTTGAGAACTGGAGATGGAATTGACGTCTTCTTATGTATACCTTTTACGTATAACATTATTCTCGGCTTCAGAAAGGTTCATGGTGGTATTCCTTCCCTCTGTACAGGAAATAGGTCACTTGGAACAATATTGTGTTTCGTTATCGCTTTGGAGAAGGCAGACTCTGGTCTCTCTGAAGGTAACGTGGCCAGATGGTGGTTCGGATGTCTTGTAAGGTGTCTTAAATGTAATCGGATAGTTTCTTGTATCATATATGCTTCAATGGGATACCTTCGAGCCTCCGCAATTGTCCCGGACGTTGAAGCACACCGTGGAAGCCCTAAGCAGGCGCGTAGCGCTTGGGCTTCAATGCACTGGATAGTTCGTATATTGCTCGCACAGGTGTTGTTCAGAATAGGTAAGTGGTATCTCAGAAGTCCAAGAAAGAAGGCCTCAAACAGTCTCTGTAGGCAGCCTACGGTGGCGCCCCATGTTGTACCACTGATAAATCGCATAAGATGTATTATGGACGTCAATTTCATCTTGAGTCGTGAAACATGAGGCGTCCACGTAAGACCTCTGTCCAGAGTGAATCCGAGATAATTATGCTGCCGAACGCTGGGGACTGTTTCTCCGCCGATGACAACGGGATATCTCTCCATATGCTTGCGAGAGAATGTCATAGCAGCGGACTTTGAGACGGAGATCTCGAGTCCACGCTTTCTTAGATATTGATGTATTGTCTTCAGAGCACATTGGAGTCTTGGCCGTATCTGAGGTCGTGTTACACCAGACGCCCAGATACAGATATCATCAGCATAAAGTGATACGTGTACTGTCGATGGCAGTTCTTCAGCAAGATTAATCAAGACTGTATTGAATAAAATTGGGCTTAGTACACCGCCCTGTGGTACCCCTCTTGTTATGACATGTGATGTAGTGTTTCCATCGCAGGTAGATATGTAAATATTTCTCCTCGTCAAGTAACTCTCCAACCAGGAGTACATGCGCCCCCCAATACCAAGATCTTCTAAGGCATGTAGGACAGCCTCATGAGTCACGTTGTCATATGCGCCTTTGATGTCAAGAAATACAGCTGTGGTGAGACGTCGCCGTGTCCTCTGTTGCTCTACAAATGATACCAGATCGATAACACCATCTATAGAACTTCCACCGCGTCGGAAACCAGACATTATTTCTGGATAATAATTGTTATTCTCTAAGTACCATTCTAGGCGAAAATTCAACATTCTTTCCATTATTTTTCCCATGCAACTAGATAGTGCTATTGGCCTGTAAGACGCAATATCGTATGGTGACTTTCCAGGCTTGAGAATGGGTACGATACGTGTTGTCTTCCATGTTGAGGGTATCTGGCCCGTCTCCCACGAAAGATTGAAAAAATCAAGGAGTTGCTTTCGGCTTCGAGAGCCAAGATTTCCAAGTGCACTGTACGTGATTTCATCAGGTCCTGGGGTCGAAGCCCGCTTTGCCGTTGCCAGGGCTGCCCGGAGCTCTTCATGCGTAAAGGGCAGGTTCATTCTCTCGTCGGATGATGATGGTACACGCCCTTGTGGAGAAGGATTAGTTATGTTAGAGGCTGCTTGATTTTGGGTTAGGTAGCGGCAGAAAGTTTCGGCAGCTTCGATTTCAGATACATTCAGGTGCAGAGATAAGACGCGGAAAGGATATCGTTGTTGGACTGCTCGTTGACCTCGTGCAATTCGCCAAATCCCTGTAAGTGGTTTTCTGGGATCAAATTTTGAACACTTCGTTCTCCATTTGGCAGTTCCAAGTTTTTGGAAGCGTCGACTTATCTTTTTCTGAGTTCTGCAAGATTCACGGAGATCCTTCCTGTCTTTGGTCCTCCTGTATCGCCTTTCCGCACGGCGACGGACAGCTCGCAGATGCTCATAATCCCCGTCGATTGCAGTTCGGGTTGTGGGAACGCTGTAGCTTCTTGTCGCAGCTTGTGTTGCAGCGACAATGGCAGTGCCGAATTCATGCAAACTGGTAGAAGACGTACAGAAGTCCTCCATCGACGCTTGATAGTTCTGCCAGTTTGTGCGATGAATAACGTGGCGAACATTTCGTCTTGACAATTCTTTTATGGTGGTGTAGGTTGGAATATGATCACTTCCGCGGGTTTCAATATCTGAGAACCAGGTAGTGTAAGGAAGCAGTTCACGAGAAACGAAAGTAAGGTCGAGGCAACTGCTATACGTAGTGCCAAGTAGGTACGTTGGGCAGCCATCATTAAGAATGTTTAGATGGTGTAGGTTCAGGCACTCGGCAAGTTCCAAAACCTAGGGTAATCCCTCAGAACAAAAAGATGAAAAAACAACCACGGTACTTTCCCCCCAAAAAAACGCCCTGGTTCTGGTCCCATGCATGGCAAACCTCCAACCAGCTTGGAGCAGCAGCACATCATGTAGGGCCTTGTAGCCAGGCGAGTTCCTACGGAAGGAGCAGCATCCGCTCAGCTCCATGTGAATGTTCCGAGCATGTCTTTGCTGGCCCTCAAGGAGTATGACTACTTTGCAAATCACTAGTCGTGACAATTGGACTACAAAAAAGGGGCAGTATTCTTCTTGCAAAAAGGAATGGCGTGTTGGACAGCTTGGATTTCTTTCCACTTTGGAGAATGTCACGAGACGCTCGAGCTAAAGGCAAGAGGGGCATCTCTTACCATCCTCCAACAGGTTACGTTAGGCGAGGCATTATATGCTGACCTTAATCGTAACGCTTTTTTAACAACCAGGGATTGGCAATTTTATTTCAGTTGATACGGAACGGTTGTCTCTAAATTAACGGGCAACCATAGTGCCTCGAAATGCTCGTTTATAAGCGTGCCTCTCGCTGAAACCGGCACTTTTTTTTTAGATAGTATTACTGCACGAGAATGTGCAGCTTTTTCCGCTTTGGAGAATGTCAAGAGGTACTCGAGCTCGCCATTCTGCAACAGGTGGCTTATGTTATCAGCTGGTCTTAATTGGAAAAGTGTTTTAAAGGCCAGAGCTTGCCAATTTAATTTCAAATTTATGCAGACAGGTTACCTCTAAGTTAATGTGTAACCATAATACCTCAAGTTGCCTGTTACATGCTTATTTTTTATTTTGCATACTGCTGCACGGGAATGTGAAAGTTGCAGTTCCCGCGACATACCAAATTATTTTAGTATGCGACTTATATGCTTTAGGATATAATGGTTTTCTTGCTAATAAAGCGCGAAACACATCCGACGTCCGACCGCGCAATACTACGGTCGGAGGCGAGGGTTTTCGTAGCATCGGAGAGCGTTGAAAACCCTCGCCTCTGACCGTCGTATTGCGCGGTCGGACGTCGGATCGGACGGTTTCGTCGTACATGTGTTTCGCGCTTAAGTGCCTATAATCACTGCTTCATTGTTTTGTGAGCCAAGAGGGAGTGACCACTGGCAACCCAAGCATGAGGGTCTGCTACAGGAAGCATAATCATGTCAGTCAGCCCTGTGTGCACGGGATAGTTCGTAACGGGCTAGGTGAGATTCAATTGCCAGCATTTTAAAAAGCGATAACTCAGAGGAGAGTAAAAGTACAAGCAAGCTGGTGAATTGCAGACGAAAAACTGAAACACCGGAAGGAAAAAGGACACGAAAAAAAGGATGACACACACACACCGTCTCGAACACAGCTGAACGTTTATTCTAAAACCACACCCTTTTATAACGGTACACCACAGTCAACGCCAAGAACCCTCACACCAAGTCACACACCCAGACTGTCAGCAAGAGCAAACAAAAGAAATGCACTCGACGCTTCCATACGTGCCAAGGTCAAGCAACTGACAAAAAAAAATTGCATTGGTCAAAAAGTTTGTACTTGCTTGTGAATCACCATCGACGAGACACTTGCACAATTACCAGCAGAACCAATACTAAGAGTTTCTTCTGCCACGTGTTTGAACTGATCTCGCTTGACTTATCACCGTGGTGGCCATCCAATTCGGATGACAACTGTTGCAAACTTGTAAATGTACTACAGTTTCTGAATTTGGGGATTGCAGGAGAACACACCTTTTGTGCTCCATGATTTGCTCATTAACATAACATCCAGTTTAAACTATGTATGAAAACCCAGATGCCAAAGGAATATTATAAACACTACCATATTGACATTCAGTGGCAGTATTCCTATGCGTTTCCCCGCAAACTTTTTCTACCTCTTGTGAAAAGAGTCGACCTACTTTATCTGAAGTCTTCAGAAGCACGTTCTCATGGTCACTCTCGTCGTCGTCTGAGGCCGTCTTGTCTTCACAGGCAATGTGAGACTCACTCTGAAGACAAATTCGGGATCTTCAGCATCGCTGCCGTCCGAACTGCTGCAAGAAAGAGCTCTCTTTCTGGGGACCATCACCGCCATTAGCATTCCTCATGCGTGTCGTCATTTTTAAATTCATGTTGCCAGGCCAACAACTGCTGTCAGGCTGTCATTGCAAAGTGCAAAGTGCCAGGCCAACAACTGCTGTCATTGCAAAAGTGCAAAACGCTTTTTTTTTTCTAGCACCTTTTTAGGTTGAAAATAGAAACCGAAACCAATTTTTGAACGTAACTTGTCTTTGACGCAGAGAGCAGCACAGCATGAGGGTGGACGAATGTGACTCGTCATTGGTGATATTGGTACAAACTAATAATGTGCTCAGCTCGGACCAATGTAATTTAGCACACAGGTGGAATATAATTGTGACATTGTCTGTCCCTTTTTTTCTATCTCTTATCATTTTTCCCCTTTTAGAGCGCAGCTTTTAGGGGCCCGTTCCCGGCTTGAGCGGCGGCGCCGTCGGCGTAACCAAGGTCGTCCCAAGGTCACCTGACCCCCAAGGTCACGTGACTCCCCAAGGTCACGTGACACCCAGGGTCACGCGACACCCAAAGTCACGTGGCTCCCCAAGTCATGTGACCCCCGATGACGTCATCAGTGACGTCATTGATGACACCATCAGTGATGATGACGCTGATGATGCGGATGCCGGTGACGTCATCAGTGACGTCATCGGGGGTCACGTGACCCCGGGGGTCGCATGACTTGGGGAGCCACGTGACTTTGGGTGTTACGTGACCTTGGGGGTCACGTGACCTTGGGGAGTCACGTGACCCTAGCGGAAGGGTCACGTCATCAGTGCCGGTGACGTCACTGATGACGTCACCGGCATCCGCATCGTCATCATCACTGATGACGTCATCAGTGACGTCACTGACCTCGTCATCATCACAGTGACGTCATCAGTGACGTCACTGGCCTCGTCATCATCACAGTGACGTCATCAGTGACGTCACTGATGACGTCATCGGTATCCGCATCGTCATCGTTACTGATGACGTCATCGGCATCGTCACGTGACCCCCCCCCCCAAGGTCACTTGACCCCCCCAGTACCCTTCCCTCCTCCTCAAGAGCTGCGCTCTAATTCGGCGTTACAGGCTTTCACGTTTTTTTTTACCACAGTCCACAGTCTTTTTTGACCAAAGTGTCAACCGTCAGCTTGCCTGCACAAAAACCTTTTTTTTCAATAAAATTGGCAATTTTTAGCTATATTATTGAACAGAGCTCACCTTAGTAAAAAATAAGAGAAAAAAAAATCTTTTTTCTGTAGTTTACGTGTGAAAACCAAATTACATTTTAGGCCACTGTCTATTTTGGCAAAGGGAGACAGATAATACATAAGCCAAGTTTACTTCATTTCCATTCCCTCATTTTTTTAGTCGTAATAAATGCCACGGTGGCCCAAAAGGCTGTTTGATGATATTGCGCCAAAAGGAGTGGGCAATCACCCATAAAAAGTGTTGTTTCCTTAGGTTTGGGGGGCTCAAACTTTTATATAATTACTGCACCATCTAGATCACTTCTGTAGTAAATCGTAGCACGATAGGTCAAGATAGCAATTTATGCGGTTCCTTCAAAGGGTTATGCGCATTTATACTTGTGCTGTATTTTTACAGATCAAGAGACTTGTATGACTGAATCATGCCAGCTGTGTACTAACTTGTTGAAGGCGCCACATAAATGACGACATAAGCCTTTGACTTTAGTGGCACCAACTTTTTGTCAAAGTGCCCATTAGAATTGTCAAAGGCAACGCTATCAACGCAGTTTGTCTGTGTAATGCCAACAATGCAGTTTGTCTGTACCACTGCCGTTCAAAGTCCGGTAGCTAGCCCAAATAGTCTAGCATCACATACGAGGTTCGTTGGCAGAAAATGCAAGAACAAATGAAGTTCAGGCACCTTGTGCAGCCTCACCAACAAATGTAGACCACATACTGCAATGGCAAAAACACAGAGCTTGGCCGCTTCTGTCCACATACCTTCTGCGCATGCGCGGGTTTCCCGTTGTGTTGATAAACAAAGCACGTCGGTGTATACACTCTGCCAATTTGTAATTTATATGATGAAGATTTCTACAAAACTAAAACATATTGGCTGTTGCTGAATTGTGCCACAAACATTAAGGGTGATTTCAAATAAGATCGATCAAGGGGTGGCTGGTCGACATTTTCAATTCAATTGATATTTTTCTGTCATTGCTTAATATCCCAAATTTGCAACTCCAACGCCCCATACGTGGCAAGGCGGTACTTCCAGGATGGCAGAAGAGACGAAGATAGATTCTCCAGGATTTCACGTGCACCTGCTTGTTCACGCTTGTCACTGCGCTAAAAATGACTCATTTGTGTACAAATGCGAAGCAGTTAAGAGGGAGCGCTCCTCGATTTTCATCTCCGATAGGAACTTTTGAAGAATCCAGATGGCGCGCGCGTCGAAGGCGTGAAGAGGCGCTCTCCCTCCGAGGCGAATGAGTGCGTAACGTATCTGGGTCTAGCAGCGGAATGAGAGCTCGTGTCCCTTAAAACTCCTCGCGAAAGAACGTAAACCGCATTTTGGTTCGTTACAGTTGCATTTCCTTCAGTGTAGTCGAAACGCAACCAAAACGCCGCTAGTGACAGCCTTCACAGTGCTTCCGTGCCCCGAGAAATTCGCGGACGGCGCTTCACGTCTCCTTCGGTAGGGTGACGTAAATGACACGTGATGACGTCGCATTCGATGCTCGCAGCGGATTCGCGGGTTTGTGAGGCTCGTGCCGAGTCGCCCACGGCAGCGGCGGCGGCGGGCCGCGGCCGGCAGTCGCCCCGAGGGGCAAGTGGGGTGCGGAGTGCGGTCGGTGAATGTTCGCGGGGAGTGACTTCTCCGGAGGATTCGCAGAACTCTGAACGCCGATATGTTGTCCATCCGGCGGTGACGGCTGTTCGCGCACGACCGCTCTGTTGTGGTCGTTATTGGTTTAGAGGGCCTAGACTTTTCAGTCGCGCTATGTCAGTCGGCTGGCCTTCCCGAAGAAAACCGAAATCAAGAGGTAAGAACTTTTTTTATGACGTCCCCATTCAGTTATGATTTCTGTCGCAAGTGATGTACATTTTCACTTTATCAGAATGGTGCGATTGCCACGATCGATTGAGAATCACATTGTGTACTTCAGGTTGGTGCGAACCACACACTGAA